ACAGATCTGATTTCTTCCCCTCACATTTGTGTCTGATTGTGTCCTCTCTTAGCCCAAAAACATTTGATAAGCTGAATATGTAAATAGAGGTGTCTGTTAGAGGGGTTAATTCATATCAGTTCATTAATGACAGGCTATGCCAAACTGAGCCTGTGTCAGTCCTTGCTGACTTTCTTGGCAATCTGATCTACCTGGACTTAGGTGAATATGATAGTTATTCATATTAATACCCATTGCATGAGGTATTAACAGATAAACCTTGAAAAATAGAAGCAATTAAAGCATTATGAAAGGCTGAAAACAGCTGTGGGTAGTGTTGAAAGGTGAAGTATCAGCTTGAGAGAAGAAGGAGCTACAACAGAGCCCTGTGGGGCTTGGTTTGGGGAGGAATTTCAGGACAGATTTTGTCACAAACAGTATCACACTTGTAGGGATTGCTGATGACACATAACAGAAAAGCAACACCAAAGGGAGATCAAAGCAATGTATGGGATAGATTGGTGATCACTGGCAAGAGAGGGACATAGGGAGCAAGAGTGGGAATAGGATAAAATCCCAGGTACATGCGTTTGTACATAATGACTGGTAAGGACTTTAGGTATAAATTGGCACAGCCTCACAGTGTAAAATGAGAGGAGGTGAGCAATCATAAAATGGCTACATGTTCTGAAATGTTATAATTGAAACAGGACACACAATGCAAAGGGCCTTTATCTCCCCCAGAGCCTGAGTCAATACCATTCCATAAGGTATGCATGGGATGAGAAGAGACATGTGGGGCAGCTGTGTCTGAAAGGAGGTTTGAATGTTGGAAAGTGCTGAATACAAAGAATAAATAGATTTTATCCAGGCTTGTGTAGAGCTTTTCCAAGGCACAGAGCCTGAGTCCTTTTCCAAATAACTATTTTCTACCTAGGAAACAGTTTTCTTTTGACAGCTAATCAGAGTAGATCATGTTTTACAGCATAGAGGTAGATGATGACTACTGTTCTCATTAATGCTTGTAGGGTTTGGTGAAGATAGTTATCTGCTTGAAGTGAAAGAGTGCTGGGTCTCAAGAGGATTACAGGAAAAGGTAGGGGTAGGAAGTTAGAGCTGGTAAGATCTTCTGCTTATCAATTACTAGAAAGAAAGGGCAGAAAATCCAAACTATCTCTGGTGAAAGTAAGGGCAGACAAACTGTGTCAGTGGCTCCTCTCTGGTCTTTCTCAGTGATCTATGAAAGGACACTCAAAGTGCTGATTTTGAGATAACATTAAATTTAGCACATCCCTAGTTATTTGGTGTAAGGCCTTCAAAAGGGACAATTTTAACAAGAAGCAACCAAGTTTGGTGCTGAGACATCTTAACTTTCTCAGCTGGGTTTCTTTCCCAATATTGTTTTGAGAGCAGACAGTTTGAATTGTTTCCACAAGCCCAAGAATAAGAGATCATACTGTTCATTTAGTTCCATTAGGATCAGTGTTAACTTGACATAGACACAGATCAGGACTAAGATCACCGTAACATTTGTGTGTTAACTCCAAATTAAAAAAACACACTGAGATTTTACAAGAGGTAGTCGATTTAGAAGTCCAACTTATTAAGCTTAGATTCAACCAGTGATTGAATTAAAAATCCAAATTCACTCTCAAAAGGCAAAGGTTTAAGTAAGGAGCTTTTTATGCTTCCTGCTGCTGCCTTAGAGGCTGAAAAAGACTCCAGCTTCGTTTCCATATGATGCAGTGGAAAGATCCTGAGCCAAACAAAAGGGCAATGCTTTCTTTTGCTCATCAGTGGTAATTGTGATGACCATCCTCATGTGAGATCCGTATGGATCTCATAAATTCCCAACAGCACTGGGATTCTCAGCAGAGGCTGGGATAGCCTCTATGGGTGTTATTCTGTGTTTGCTCACTGACAGAGACAGCGAGTGCAGCCATTGTTTCACAAGGGCTCAATTGCTTTGTGGATGACACAATGTTGGACAGTGCCAGCTGCCCATATAGTCCAGAAATGGGACATCCCACTTGCCTTGCCCATCAGAGGGAGAGCAGGTGAGGGTTTTGCAAACAATATTGTCCATCTGGGTCAACTCATAATCTGCCACTGTAAGCCTCATATTTGATCTTGGTTTAGGAGTTTGGAGGGAATTGGAAAACAGAAGCCGGAATAACATTGCTCTGCTTCTAGTATTGACAAGGACATTTCCTTGCCTGTTTGTGCTAAGCATCCACATCCAGCAGCAACAAAAAAGGCGCTGAATACATATCCTATAGGAACATACCAAGAGGCTTGGAGAAAGATGCCTGCTGCCATCTGATTCAACAATACCTTTTAACGCATAATAAACTTGGTTGTGGTTACTCTATTTTGTATACAAAAGGTCACAAAGATATTTTCTGTGTACAGAGCTGCTGTTCCTGCTCTGTGGCCAATCCACTCTGCTGAGAATGCTCTGCTGAGAATCTCTGGTAGAAAGAATGGATGGGTCACTGCTCTCACTGCCTTGGCATCCTCCCAATGACTTTGGAGTACTGATGAAGCCAGAAAAGCAACACTCCTGCTTGAAGTGATTAATTTTTATTAGTTAAAAACTAATATAAAGTATGGAAGTAATGTGAAACCATCTTTACTGAATAAATTCCCAAAGGTTTAATAAATTTTTAATTGCCCTAAAGTTGTAGCCTCGTTCAGTGCAGTCTCAGCTCCCCACACAAGATGGCAGCTCCGCTTTCCTTCTGCTCAGCTGCTCCTCGGTGAAAGCTGTCCCTCTCACGCTGACACTGCAGGGGCTACTGCAGTACAGGAATAAACCGAGCCAGCCCTGAGAGTCTCACCATTATTCACTCCAAAAAGAGCATCTCACACAGAACAGCATGGCTTGTGAGGAGCAGCAGTGTTTCATTCAATACTCCATTTATCCAATTCCAGCAAGTCGCAGTAACTGGTTTGTATTTGTGCTGGTTTTGGCTGAGATAAAGTTAATTTTCTTCACGGTAACTGGCACAGGGCTGTGATTTGGATTTGGGCATGATAACACAGAGATGGGTTTTTACTGCTGAGCAGAGCTTACATAGAGCCAAGGCCCTTTTTGCTTTAGTCCAGCCATGCTGACAAAGTTGGGGGGTACATGGGAGACTGGGAGGAGAAACATCCAGAACAGGTGACCCAGACTGACCAGAGGGGGGCTCCAGACCATGTGGTATGTGCTCAGTATATAAAGTGGGGCCAAAAAGAAGGAAGGGATGTGAAGGAAGGGGTTTGTCTTCCTAAATCACTGCTACGTGTGATGGAGCCCTGGTCTCCTGGGGAAGCTGAACACCTGCCTGCCTGTGGAAAGGAGTGAATAAATTCCTTGTTTTGCTTTTCTTTTGTGTGCAAATTTTGATTTCCCAATTAAACTGTCTTTATTTCAATTCAAGGGTTTTCAAGGGTAGTTGTTACCCTTCTGATTCCCTCTTCTGATCCCGTTGGTAGGGGAGTGAGTCGGTGGCTATGTGATACCTGGTTGCTTGCTTGGGGTTAAACCTCAGCAGTGTTGCATGTTGCAGTTTTTGATGTTTGAAACTGCAAACTAAAAGGGGAAAAAAGCCAAAAAAACTTATTTCAGTTCAGATTACAGGACATTCACTTGCAGAGAACAACATGAAACCCTATGCTCAAACTTTTAGACTGTGTCTCCTATTACCCTGGCTGAACTGTCATTTAGAAAAATGTAAAGTTATTTACATTTCACATTTTTTTAGCTCACTAAATAAGTGCCTGTATTTCTGTCAAGGCAACAGAAAATTAGGTCTTTCTGTAATTCCAGCTTGCTAGAAAATAAATACTAGATTCTAGTATCTATTTGATCCCAGAATTGCATTAAGTAACCCTGTAAAGTCAGAAACTCTGAAGTAGCTATAACAATTAATGCTGTAACAACAAATTAATACTGTCCTGTCACAAAATATTCCAAATAGCCAACACTGCTCTTTCATTCTGAAACATATGATGAGTCAATTTACACTGCACATCTTCTTCTCAGCTGAAACTCTTGTCTCCTCGAGTAATTTGTGGGATGCCTCATTCTGTGGTGAGCAGCCCCCAGCTGGTGTGAAGCGGATCCCTGCTCCATTGTCACCAGCTTGGCCTGTCCCATTTTCAGATGAGCCTAGAAAAATACTGAAGCACCTAAGGATCATATTTACAGTCCTCCCAGGTGCAGAAGTCAGATATTCTTCTTATGACATGGTCATGGCATAATGTAGGCTTAGCCCGATAAATATTTGTTCTAAATATATAAATCTCCTCTACAGTTCAGCAGCCAGCAGCTCAGAGCCTCGAAGGCAGCAGCAGCAAGAGAAGAGAGCTGTCCCCCTTTCCCACGCAGATGTCCCCCAACATCCTGAGCTTCCCGCCAGCAGAAGGCCAGCAGGTGTCAGCAGGAGTCTGGGAATGGGACAGAAGCACACCGGCACCAGGATCGCCAGATAGAAATAAGAAAATACTTGCTTACCGATTAATCAAAAAAAACCCAACCAACCAAAAAAAAAAAAAAAAAAAAAAAAAAAAAAAAAAAGCAAACACCCAACCCACAGCCAAACCCCAAAGCAAAACAAAACGTAAAAACCCACGACTTTTTCAGCGGGTGGTGGTCTCAAAAGAGTTACCGGTCCCTTCCCTCGGGCTGACTCTGGCGGAGCAGCTGCTGTCGGGGCCGGACCGGAGCCGGAGCCGGAGCCGGAGCAGAGCCGGTCACTCGCACAGCGGGCCCGGTCCCTCGCTGTCCCGCCTGGAGCACGGCCCGTCCCGCAGCACAGCTCGCTGCCGGGAGCTCACCGGGCACCTGCGGGGCTTGGGCGGAGCGCTGCGGCTCTGGGGCCGCCCGGAGCTGCCCGCCTGCCCCCAGAGCTGCCCCGGGGCAGAGGGAGGCGCCGGCTGCGCTGCTCAACCCCGAACCGCTGCGACTCCTCTTTACCTCCCACTGAATGTGTATCTCGTGGCAAATGTGACCTTATTAATTGAAAGTTACTTACTTTTCAATTAAGGTACAGATTAATTTACTTTGCATCTCTTGAAGAGTGCCTGGTAGCTGAAAAGCCTAAGGAAGGTAGTTACCATAGAGAATTTACCATGGTAACTTGTCCTTTGACAGCTTGTTTGTATATCAAAGTCTTTATTTAAATATCATCCTTCCTCAAAAAGCCCTGAAAAGTCTGGCTAGAGACACTTAGCAGTTACCTCACTTGAGGGTTAATTGTCCATCTCCTCTGCCCTCTTCAAAACCCTCGCTCCTACAAACATCTAATGGATCCCTTTTGTTCCAAACAAGAGAAAGATCCCATGGGGGCCTCAGCACCCTGGAGCACTGTTGCTATCCACCAGCAGCTGTGGTGTACTATCAGGGTATCAGACAGGCGAAAATGCATTATATTATTTCCAGCAATGTTTCTTCCAAATTGAATGAGTCAGTCATAGAATGGCCTGGGTTGGAAGGGATGTTAAAGACCATCTATTTCCAACTCCCCTACCATAGGCAGGGAACATTCACTAGACCAGGTTGCTCAGAGCCCCATCCCACATGGTCTTGAACACCTCCAGGGATAGCAATTCCACAACTTCTCTGGACAAAGTGTGTCAGTGTCTCACCACTCTTAGAGTAAAAATTTCTTCATAATATCCAATATAAATCTATCCTTTCTCAGTTTAAGGCCATTTCCCCTTGGCTTTCCTGTGGCCCCCTTCAGGCGCTGGAAGGTGCTCTAAGGTCTCCCCAGAGCCTTCTCTTCAGCTGAACAGCCCCAGCTCTCCCAGCCTGTCTTCACAGGAGAGGTGTTCCAGCCTTTGGATCATCTTCATGACCCTCCTCTGGACTGGGTCAATGTCTTTCTTCTCTAAGGGAGCCCAGTTGTACACAATACTCCAGGTGAAGTTTAACAAGGGCAGAGTAGAAGGAGACAATCACTTCCTTTGATCTTCTGGTGCCTCTAGTGATACAGCCCAGGATACAATCCTTACTGAGTTTTTATTTACTTGATTTTTTTTCTCTCTTCTATAAAGTGTGGCAATGCAGCAGTATAGCCACTTTAAACAAAATTGGGAAATTTACTATTAAGCTGGATCTCCAGCACTTGAAATATGTTACTTTATGAACAGATATAGAGCTAATGTTACAACTTGAAAAAAGGCGAGAAAAACAAAAGAACGGGAAAACTATTTTGGTAACAAAGTCTTGGGTTACAAATATAAACAAAAATGTTGGGGGTTTTAAAAATATTTTGATCTGTCATTTTCAGATACATTTTCTGCTTTAGGAGAGGGACGTATAATAACATCTTCCAGCAGCTCTTCAAGAAGTGTGAGGAGGACTAGAGTACAAGCTGTGTCACATCACTTTTCCCTAGATTTTCCAGGGTGTTGGTGAGCCAGTCAGGGTTTGTGTGCATCCTGTAATCAGGACAGTGAAAGCCGTACCACAGCTTGTATCAATGCACTGGAAAAGTGCTGCCTTACACCAACCCAAAATTATTGACAGTCTGTGCATGCATATTTTTTTTCTCTCATTCTCAGGTTTACAGAACCATTTTTCATTACCAAATAGTAAGAATCTAATACCTATAGAATTTAGTGGCTCCACTCACTGATTGAAGTTCTGAGTGTATAATGACTTTCATTGACAGACAGAGCCTTGATGTAAAAGAATTCCTTGTGGAGGTAACATGAACAACATAAAGTAAAAGAAGATTCTTGAGAAAACAGTGCACATTGTTTTTATTGAAAGGTATGTCTCAGAGTGTGTTAGGACCCTTTTTCTGAGACAGCTATATGAAGTGTAAGGTAATACTGATTTCAAATTTCTTTTTAATGTTGGGGGAGTTGAAGGCTCTGTAGATAGCAACCTTACAAACTGGAAACAACCTGCTCCTTCTGGACAGCACTGAGCAGCCAGAATGGCAAAGTGCAGGTGCCTGGCCACAAACTGAAAATACCCACTGACCTCAGGGGGAGTTGCACATTCCAGAAGAGTCTTGGGAACAACCCTGGGACATCACATGGGCCGCAGCCAGCTTTGGTGGCAGTTTGACATGTCCACCCCAACAGAGCCCTCCTGCATCCACTGCGTTTGAGTTTCCCTGAATGCTAAGATGGTGTGGCTTGTCACCACTCTAAGCAGAGAGAAGCTGTGTGCTCACAAAGCAGCTGAGAATGAAGGAGAGGGCTCAGGGCTGCCCACACAATGGGTCTCCCAACACACACCAGTAGCCCAGCACCAGCAGAGCCTGATGCTTGCTCACATTCCCTTCCAATGAGCAGCAGAAGGAAAGAAGCTACATACAAGGATAGCTGCAACTTCACCTGGGAAAGGTGCTGGCCCAAACGCAGGCCCAAAATCCAGGAGAGAAAAATGTCCTTTTCCTCCCTGCAAACCCCTACTGCCAGAGTGTTCCTTCCCCAGAAAATTTCACCTTGCTGCAGTGACTGCTCTACAAACAGAGGAAACAGCTGCAAGACTTAGTTGAATATGCCTGAAACATTTTTTGCTCTCTCTGCTTGGAAACAGCTGGGTCAGGTTTCCTGGTAGTTCCCTATTAAAGCATCTAAAAGAAATATCCTGCTGAACAGCAGGACTTACAATACAGGAAGTTGTCACTGGAAATGCTGAGTAATTGTACACAAATGTGCTAGTAATACTTGCTTTAAAGGTAGGTGATCATCTTTGATCCAAGTTTATAGAAATACTTCAAAAATAATTGCTCCTTGATTTGTTTGACAAGCCAGGTTCAAAATTCAGTTTCCCTGACAACATCTGAAAACATTAAACTGTGCAATGCATTTAGGAAAGAAAATAAAGGGGAATGGAAAATTACTCCCAAAAGTTAGTTAAAAGGGTATGCAGAGAGAAGGAAAAGCAAGAATGGGCAAACAGCCCTGCATCAATAACCTCAAAGATCAAATATTCCTTCTTTCTAACATTTGCAGGAAACAAAAGACTGAAGCTGATAGTTGCTTTACCATCCGGTTGATTTGATTGCTGCAGTAAGCAATATGTGGCAAAAAATATTTTGTCTGCATCTAAGAGACGAAACAGGCAGAAGACTGCACTGTTCTCCTTAAGCATGACTGGCCAAGGCAGCCTTGCACAAGCTGGACTAAGTTGCCATCTGCAGAGGTGGCTGCTGGCACCTCTTGTTAAAAGAAAACCCCCGCTATGTCTATGTGTGGGGATGATGGGCAGCCATTTGTGAGACACCAAAGCTAAGGAGCAGAGAAGGCAGTGAGGGTCCTTAGGGTCCCACCTGTGCCTCAGTGAGGGTCCTTAGGGTCCCACCTGTGCCTCAGCACAGCCTCCTGCTCATCTCTCTTGCCCTGCACAGAGCCGTGTGTGGCATTGCAGGGCACGGTCATGCCCAGCCTGCAGCGCGAGCTCTGGCACCCGACCATGGCTCCCTGCAGCCACAGAGCTCCCGACAGGCTCCATCCCAATGGAGCCACTCCTGAGCCCACCAGGGTGGGGTGGGAAGCTTGGCAGCACCATTTGCACAGTGGCTCTGTTTGCAGTGTGGCGTTCCTGAGGTTTTCATTCCTATTAAATATAAACCACAAATGTGTTATCTTTACCTGAGTTCTAATCAGCAGGCTGGCATAGTTTGCTAGCTGAAATATTTCTGGGCATTCACAGAGCAATAGCTGATTCAGAGCTTTCAGAAATGCTTCTGTACTTCCCAAAAGTGAAGGAACTCAGAAGAAAATGAGCATACCCCTCTTCGACCTCCTGTTCAAATGATAGGAATGAGTTATTTCTCACAGAATCACATTCTTTATATTGAATAAACCCCTAGACCTTCTGGGCTATTGGATCCACACCAAGGGAATAGTATAATAGAACAGTGGTACTATCCTTACATGTCCTCCATATACCAATAATGATTACCTGGAAAGTCAACATGGGGAGAATGTGACTTGTTTAAGAAACAGACAGCTGTGGTATCCAAAATGATTTGTGTCTGTGTACTTCAGTGCTCAACTCTGCTAACTGAAAAAAATAAACAAAAGCCTGAAATTGCAATGAAGTACCAGGTATTTTTTTGAGCCATTTATTGTGTTTCCAGCCTGTTTGTCTCTAGATTGATTTAAGAGCTCCTCTTCACCTTTTGTAAATTAAACTTGTTTTCTAGCCTCATTTCACATTAAGAGTGATTTTAGAGTGATCTGGCACATTTTCTGCCCCTTTCCTCAGGGAACTGTGAATGTACTTAATGCGAACTATATTATACCACCCCCCTCGGCCACAGGAGCCTCTCCCTGTCCATAGGGCATCCTCCAGCAGGCTGGCTGGGGGCTGGCAACATCAATTGTCAGATTTCAGGTGAAATATCCCCTCTGTAACTGCTACCACTGCTAGACGATCAAATTCAGGAAAGCATAATGAAAACTGCCATAGCAGAGGAACAAGTGGCTCTCTTTTCACATGAATGGTCCAGTGTTATTGATGATGCTCGAGGGGGACACCTAATACCTGCTGTGCAATAGTGTATGGCTGTGACACTTTACTGTCATGCTCTTTTTGATTGTGTTTAGCAGGAGCCAGTAGGAAGAAATGAGTACTGCACAAGGTGCAAGATCCTCATTGATCATAGTGTGAACCTCCCTTCTAGAAAAGTTCCTGTTTCTGTACATGCCCTTCCTCTGTGCAAATTAGAGGAAGGAGAGCAAATCTGATCATAGCAAAGTAAGATCACTCTTAGTTATGGGAGGGAAATGAAGCTATTGGGAAAAAAAATCCTTAAAAGAAATAAAAAGAGCAATTCTTAGAATCAGTCTGTGGCTAAGAAGCTATTCAGGTAATACCAGCTAGGATTTGAACTTTGATGTGAAATTCCCTCAGTCTTCAATCCTGTAGCCTCAGTATGATTTCAAGATGCCAGGACTAGAAAGGTGTAGCTGCATTCTGGGTTTTGGGTTGTGTGCCATCGTACAGAGCAGCAGACTTCTCCAGCCATTGCCTCAGCCTTGGACAGAGGCAGAGCAGCAACAAATTACCATTGAGGCGTCACGTCTGTGCCCACTGCTGCCCAGGCTCCAGTTTCAGGAACATGAC